GCTGGCTTTCCCCGCCGCCTTCTCTACCAACTGGGAATGCTCAAACGAGACTGATGGACGCGTCCGAACTCTGCATCCCGGACCCCCTCGGCTACCACAACCAGTAGGTGCCCTGCTTCTCGCTCTAGCTGTCCTTCAGCCAGTCCAGCTGCCTCTGTCCTGGGTGTCGCAGTTTCTCTTCTACATATTCTTGAAGTGGCAGGGACCTCGGGACACTTGGGGGACGTTAGTGAAGAGGGGAGGAGGCGCACACTTTCTGGGTTTCTTTCTCGGATGTTAACCCGCCTCTAACTTTTCCCACACCGCCTCTGAGAAACCCTCACTTTTAGGTAAAAGTCGCGATTTCTCATTCACTTTTTTCTCCTTTCTCGCTTTGATCTTGCTCGGCGATGAGAAAACAGTTGAGTTTTGTGGATTGGAGCGCGAAGGGAGACGGAAGCCCGGAACAGGTGTAGGAATGCGGTTGCAAGGATGTCCTGTCCCGTCTGAGAAAGCGTCCCTGCAGGCGCTTTGATTTCATTATTTCCATCCTGGGGACCAAAAATAATCCGGGCAAGGCTGAGAAAATCGAACGTGCGGCGGCAAATCCGGCACTGCAGGCGGCCGGTGCTGCGCTCGCCGGGTTGTCCCAGTGGGGTGCCCCGAGGGTGCGCCCCCGGGGCGGCGGACCCAGGGCTCCCCAGGGGGTGCCAGCTGCACAGCGAGTGTGCCCTGGGTTTCGCTCGCCCCGCGAGGGAAGACCGCATCCCGCCAGGTGTTGAGGGCACCCGGCCTCGTACTATTAGAGGCAAAGTTAGTTCGCGGCTTTCAGGGAGGTTGCGCCCGGCGGCACGGAGTGGCACGGTTTGCCTGCCTGGGGCGGCTTTGCGCCCGGCGTCAGACCCAGGGTTGTCCCAGAGGCATGGGTTGGGGAGGAGGCTGGTACTGTAGGACCCGATTCCCAAGAACAGCAGGTGTCCAGCCGCGGGGCAGCGGGCGGAGTTCGCAGGGTGGGAGAGAGACTGAGGCTCCCAAGCGATGAGTGGTAGCCTCGCTCTTCCTGTCTGGGCTCTCCCAGGTTCCCTTCTGGCCACCCGCCCTTTCCCTTCCAGCTCCCTCCGCTGTCGCCGCCCCACCTGTCCCCACACCTTGGCGCTCTGAGTCCCACCGCACCCGGGGCGGGCGTCCCGGCGTCTGTGTGTGCGCGCGTGCCGAGCGGTCCCTCGGAAGGCTTAAAAAAATAATAATAATAAAAGGAAAACACCAGTTTTCCTGCGAAACTTTGTGCTCTCCCTCCTTATTTTTTCCGCTAAAGCTAACTAAACTATCAAAGTCAGCGTTTCTTTGGTTCCCTCATCCTTTCATTTTTATACCCTCCTTCCCCCTCAAACCACAACGACGTCCGTAAAATAAATACTTTGCACGCGGAGGGGGTTCAAACCCGACTTCTTCCACCTCCGCGGGAGAAAGGAGGAAACTTCTCAGCAGGGGCTCTAGCTGATGACCCGACTGTCCCAGCCTCCGCGGTGACCTTTCTGGTTCTAGGTTTAGGATCTCCCCAGGCAGAGGGTCCTTTAAATGCTCGCAGAATTTAGAGCAATGGAAAGCAAAAGGAAGAAGGCTATGGGGCTGAGGAAGGGGGGGAATCCTTAATTATAATGGATTGAACTTGGAAAGTGACTTTCATTCTCTTTAAAGGTTACAGGGATCCCAGCTTCCGGGGCTGGTGGGTGGTGGGTGGGAGTGCTGCCAGGCTCCTCCTAGGGAGGGGGTTGTAGGTGAGGCTGTGGACAGTGTTTGGTGTTTGTGGGGCACTTGCTCACATAAAATGACCAAGGAGGACAAATATTGGATGCTTAAATTATTTAGGCTTCCTCTCTCCAGAGGTGACTTCTTTAGTTGAGCTCAAAATATCTATGTATTTGTCCCTGGCTCAAGTCAGTCAATAAATATGAACATGTGAAGGAAGCGCATGCTTTGATTATGTTGACCAGAAAAGCAAGGCGAGATGGAGGGTTGAGCCACTGGTACTTCATCCACCTTGACGGCAACCCCAGCTTGAGTGTGAGCAGAAATATGGCCAAAGAGGGCAAGTCAGGAAGGCAGCAAAGGGGAACGGAGGTGCTGAGGCCCTGGGTATCCCGGAGGGTTTGAAGTGGGAGTCATTTAGAAATGCAGCTGGAAGATGGTTTGGATCTCCCACCCTCCCGCTGCTTAGCTTCTCATTCCACAAGGTGCAGGAAAAGCCAAAAAAAAAAAAAAAAAATACACCTGCTGTTGCCACTGAGGAACTCGGCATCCCTGTGAGATGCCATTTCTCAAGAACAGGATCTGCTGGGCAGCCACCCCACGCATTGGTGTGCTGCCCCCCCCCACACACACACACAGCCATGTGCTTCCAGGAGCGGGTTCACATTTGCAATGGTTCAAGGGTACACTGTGTCCGAGGATGGGTGGTGGAGGTCAGAGCCTGGTGTCTGGGGGAGGCAAATTTCTGACCTCTGCCCCAGGGCCTTGTGACATAGCTTTCGAGCAAAGCAGAAGACTGTGTTCTTTGGTTTGCTGGAAGGACCGTAGAATGAATCTGGTCATTACAACGCTGTTGTTCTCTCGGAGCCCGTGGGTTTGTGTGCTCTGCACACACGGTTTTTACCTTGTGGATTAGTTGACCTTCCCAGACTTGAGAAAACCCAAGGGCACAGGGATTGGAGTTCAGAGAGAAAGAACTCTCCAGCCCGCCCTCTCGCTGGCTCACACACAGGGAGCATTTGTTAATGCGTTGGTGTCACTCTCGCTCTCCCAGGTGAGAAATGAACGCACACACAGATACATACGTGTCTTCTACCTTTCTCTCCTTCGTTTTCATTTTCCTGTAACCAATCCTGTAGGTGACTCCATTACCCTCTCTAATCAATATTTTATGTACATATCTAATCAGCTGGAGTGGGAGTGAGAGTGCGCACTGGCATGTGCCTATGTACAAATGGGCCCCTGCCCAGACCGGCTGGAGATTCGCGGCACATACCCTCGAGGGCTGGGAGGGCTGCCTTACCCACCGTCTGATGGCCACTTTGCTGTTGTTAAAGAAACAAAGAACAAACTGTCCTGAAGGTAAAATATGTGGGTTCACACGTAGGAAAAATGCCACATGGTAATTCAGAGTCAGTGACCCAGAGAAAAACAAAGGGGGAATTAATTTTTAATGGTACATTTAAAAATAAATCAGAGTGAGGACATTAGTCTTGATTTTTTTAAGGGAGGGGCTCCAGGACATAAACCCTTCTGTGCCCGCCACCCTTTTGGAGGTGTGGGCTGCCTGGAGGAGGATGGGCGATAGAAGGCAGTAGCTGATCTGTCTGTGAGAAATAAACTGGGAGAATCAGCAGGGCAACACCAGAGGCCCTGGTGCTCGCCGGGGCCCTTTCCAGCTCAGTGAGATCCTAACATTACTGGAAATTTCCTCTTAGAGTATATTATTTTCCCAGCTCTTCATTTTAGAAATAATCTATTTTATTAATAACGAGGACATATGAAAAGATGTATTTCTTTAAAAAAAAAAAAAAGTCATGAAGAAACAACCCAACCCACCAAACAGGAACCTTTTCATTCTATTGATTTGGAGTAATCAATAAATATTCCATTTAGTCCAAGAGAAGAGGGACAGAGGAGACTTTCGGAGAAAACACTTCAAGGGAGGTAGCTGTGATAAAGATTTCATGTCACACCCTGCTGTCTCGGGTGCCCCTGGCCCTGGCTCAGGGGATTCTTGTAACTTTATCCTGTCTACATCCCATTCATGGATTCGTGTTCCTGATAACTGGACATTTTGCCAACTGGTTTTCAGGTATCATCTGTATTCATTGGAAAAGTTTGTCTCTTTCTCCAGTCTTCTGTGAAACACCGTGTTTCTTCTGAAAGATCTGCAGTTAAATCTAGCAGGCCAAAGGAAGGAGTTGGCCAAGTGAGTGAGTGGGATTCAGGAGGGAAAATGCAGACGCCGGTAGGTAGGCAAGTGACGGTGCCTTTGACATGGCTCTGTGCTGTGCCCCTCTGGAAATTTTCTCCTTAGAAACTCAAGTGACTTCCTCAAAATGCTTAAAATTCCTTGTGGTTCCACTTGTAAGGGAAAGGCTAGCAGATGTTTAAACCATTATCCACCCCTTCAAAGCAAAGCCCAAGCATCCCTACTCGAATGCCCTCCCATACCCACCAGCCATCAGGGGGTCTCTGTCCAGCCCTCTCCAAAGTGGGACCCTTGAAGTGCTCTTCCTGCTTACTCAGGAGCTCTGCCCAGAGCTAGCAAGGACTTCTCACAGCTCCCTGAGAGCTTCTGTCTTGGGGTTCGGTGGCTCTTACCGAATGTTACTATGGGGGATCCCAGCTCGGCTAGAGGGCTCTTGGATGGATCTATCTAGCTCAGGTGCTTTTCTGTCCTGACCAGGATTAAAATCAGAAAAGATCTTAACAGCACCTTTATTTGTGTGGAGGACACCAGTCATTGTAGTCCCTGAGAAGTGCACGGACTGAAGAGGGGGCTATGAGCTCAGGGTCTGCAGGAAGGCCCCAGGAAATTGTGAAGGTACAAGTTGAGGATGGGCTGGAACTAGACAAATCTGAGCCTGGAGGCTTCCTGAGCACCCTGCCTGTTCGGCCTTGGGGCCGTTTACTGATTTCTAAGCATAAATCAAAGATCTTTTCAGCGTATACTTGCTGGTGACCCTTGAAGGGGCTTCATTTCTAGTGAGTTTCCCCTTTCTGAGTCCCAGAAGCCTCAGACCTCTGGGGAATGGTCATAGGTGGGGTTGTTCCTTGAAGGAGGGGTCCATAGGCTTTGGCTGTCTCTGATGTCCCCTGGTATGGCTGGGGTGGCCTGGGGTGAGATTATCTCCTGGTTGCCCTGTCACTGTTGTGGCCAAGTCCCTGTGCAGGGAGGTTGTGGTGTTTATAATTGCAAATGTAATTAGCAGACCAGCTCTGGGGGACTGGGATGCTCAACTTCTCCGCATGTCACGGTGACCCCTGTGATGGTCGGCCAGGCAGATTAACCCTCGCTGGGCCAGCCTGTCTCTACCACCAGGGAGGCTGCTGATCTCTCATGGAAAACGGCAGCGCTGTCCTGGGACT